ACTGCCGTGTATCAGTCATCCATTCACACTGATGTTGAAACCAATCAAATCAATCAAAGACACTTTATTGATCCCAGAGGGAAATTAGAGTTTCAGTACACACGATTCAGAGATCAGACATACATGGGCAAGACACATGACAAGAATTGGTGACTGTGGTCATTTGTAACCCTGAGTTGTGCTACCTTAAGCCGGGCGTACACTGTGCGACTTTTTCACTTTTTTGAGCCGATTTTCCAGTCGTGCGAGAATCCACGACATCGGGGCGAGTTTTGCGCTGAGCGTCGTGTAGTGTACGGGGGTTACGAGAGACGATTAACACCACGTGACCAGCTGCCGATCAGCAGTCGTGAGGTCGCACGGACTTCTGGCGTGTTTAAAATTTCGCTTGTCCCTCGTGAGGGTATCGCACTGTTGAAGCGGCGCTGCGACCCAAAAAGTATCAGAACCGCTCACGGTGCATGTGCAATCCTGCATCAACGCCGCTCGCTATTTCCCTAATAACACACGTTGTTCGTTTTTATTTCTACACGTTTTTTTACTCACAAAGATTGTCAAGAAAGTGCGTTTGTCGTGTTCGTGTCAAATTAAACTGATCACAAAACGCAGATTTACTTTCTTTATTTAGTTTTCCTCATCCAACCCCCATAAATCCCTGTGTGTCCCCCTGCAGCACTCCTGAAGGACAACAGGCAAAACAAGACAAAAAAGTCTGACGTGTTGAGTAAAAACTGCTATTTTTAGCACATTTTTAGGGCCGACGTGTTGCTACCAGACGTACAGTGTGAGCAGTCAGGTCGCATGCGAGAACTGGGTCGTACAGTGTGAGCACGACTCGTGAGATCTGCTCTGCGAGGAAGTCGTACAGTTTGAGCTGAAGCTGAACGCTGCGAGTGAAAAAGTCGCACAGTGTACGCCCGGCTTTAATATAGATAAGAGGGGTTTACATGAGGGTTGGTTCAGGTGGAGGGAAAAAAAGGCACTTCAGAGTTACCCTCCATAGGGAGGGCAGCTTTGCTCTGAAAAAAAAAACACACCTCAAACATATATGCAACAAACTTCAGACATTCCACAACGTAAGTGTCCACTAGGTGGGGTGGTGGGTTGGGACTATCCCCACGTCACTTCCTGCAGCCATGATAGAAGCAGCACATGTCACCTCAGTGTGGATAGGGGGAGGAGCATTGAGGGTTGAGGGTTGGAGGGTTGCAGTGACCCTGGAACGTTTCAGCGGCCTTCCCGCAGTCCTTCCCAGGCTGGGATAGGAGACAGAGTTGAGTTGCCATAGCGACGGCACATTCCACATATCTTCTGAGGGGGGAGTTTTCGTTGTAGCCTTGCCGGCTCAAGGGCGCCAGATTCCGATTAGAAATGTTTTGGGGCTAGACAGAGATAATTTCCTCTCTGTCTTACAGTTTGTTGGTCCTCAACCTCTCAAAATCCCAATAATATACATTAAACTATCCCAATCCGTGCTGATTCGTACACTCTATCCTTGATGGCATCCATCTTTGTGCCAATGAATGAATCTCGGCCAAAGTCCCAAGCTTACGATTCATCTCGACAATTATGTGAGTCTCTGAATTCACAGCACGGTGCAAACCATCTCTGACCTCCGGGATCAGGCCAATATTCCTCGACAGCTCGTTAATTTTCCGGTAAGCCAGGTAGCCTCCAAGGCCAATGAGCAGGAAACCTGACACCAACACCACGAATATCCACACATCTTCAGAGTCCTCCACAGACAGCTGAGATAAACAAATCAAGTTCCACTGTTTCCAGGAGTCCACGATGTGTCCAACTGGGTCTGTGCCGGCGAGGCATCCGGGAGCCCATTCTCCCGTTCTTATCGTTGAAAACATTGTATCAATGGCGTTGAGAGACTAACTGACGAGATCCATTTAAGTGAATTTCAGTTTTCAGTTTCCAGAAAAATGCAGAAGCAGCCGTGCACCCAGCACACACACACAGACAAAGTTCTTTGTTTGCCCCCAAAGTGTCAAAAACGTGAGAAACCAGAGAGCCCTGAACCACCTCAGCAGACTCCTCTAGAGGAGGGACAGTGGCTGGAGCTGCTTTGAGGAAACTTGTTTCAGCTTGTATCCAGGATATCATGATAGACAGCTGAAACTTGTACATGGATCAGACCTTTGCCTTTCAGCTCCATGTGTTCTCCACCAGGACCTTACCACAGACAAAGCTATGATCAGTCTGTTCATCTTTCACTATACTGTCACCTACCGGCCTATGAACGTTTGAAGCAAAGCCTGACTTCAGACCCGAAGGCAGAATTCCACCAGCTGAATCCACTATAAACCTCTAGCTTAGAAAATTCACTGTTACTTTGTTTTCTCTGTAAGATGCAGCTTCTGTGTAAGTTGACCAACTGTCCACCTTCGTATGACTATTATTTATGCTCACAGCCCACTCATCTCCACACAGTGAGCCCTCCTTTTGCAGATCTTGAGCTCCTTGGCCTAAGAAATCATGGCTAAGCCCTGGATCCTGAACAGCATGGTGCTCATGCCAAATAGATTAGAAGTCTTGTTGCAGCTGCAGAGAAAAAAAGATTTACTGACACAGTCATGATCAGGGGCGGCGTTAGGCCCGGCTACTTGGGCTGAAGCCCCGGATCTTTCATGATAAGCCCCGGATCTAAATCGCGGAAGTAACATGCAGTACCAAAGTCACACAGAGAGGGCGCAGCTGGCAGTAGTTTGTAAAGTCCCATTTAGTCGTCACACACACAGGTGTGTGGTGAAATTTATTCTCCGATTTTGACCCATCCCCTGAGTTGCAGACACGCCGCGCTCGGGAACTATTTGGTGGTTTAACCCCCCAATCCAACCCCAATCCAATGCTGAGTGTCAAGCAGGGAGGCATTGGGTCCCATTTTTCTCAAAATCTTTGGTATGACCCGACCAGGAGTCGAACCCCTGATCTCCCGATCTCAGGGCAGACACTCTACCACTAGGCTACTTCGTCAGTATACAGTTTACCTGAGACTGAAGAGAAGCCCTTCAGCAGCTGGCTTCTGCAGTCTCTGTCTGAAACGCATGAGTGAAGATGGATATAAGGACGTTTTTTTAGACCAAAAGTACAACGACAGAACCCCAGCTCTGATGAGACTGGTGTTGACTCAGGTTTGTGAGTCTTATTTGAAAATATTTGTTGTGCTGCTGGTTTGCCTAAAGTTAGCTTACTATCAGGTAAAGTTGTTGGAGAAAGAAAGGGAATATTCACTATCATCTCACACTAAACACTAACAGGAACAATACTCTGCCCTGAATATGCTGAATATGTAGCTTCAGATTAAACATTATGTGGTACAAGACAAATATATATGATGTTGACTAGTGCGTGTCACGTGTGTGCGCGCATGCGTGTGTGTGCGCGTGCGCGCGTGTGTGTGTGCGCGTGCGCGCGTGTGTGTGTGCGCGCGCGTGTGTGTTAAGCCCCGGATCTTCTTCAGTCCTAAATCCGCCCCTGGTCATGATGGCATCTGTGACGCAGAGAGAGGTTTCCAAAGGAGGGAATCACCTGAGTATATTATAACCAGCAACCTTCCGATTACTGGACAACCTGCTCAACCTCCTGAGCTACTCCTCCTGAGCCCAATCACTGGAGGAGACACGGGTAAGATTTAACAACGATTTATGAAATAATGAAACTGAAGGCACCGCTTGACTGGGTGTAGGTTTGCCCATTGAGGCTCTAAGACCAAAGGAGAGTCAGACTCCAAGATGGGCAAATGGAATTAACCCCTTAGCATTCCAGGGTCCCGCCCATGGGACAAAACCCCATTGCATTCATTAAACCTGGACATTTAAGGGGTTATGGTTTGTTGTTTGCTTACGGTTCCTGAGGGGAGACTTGGTCTGAGGGAGCTGAGGGAGTTTGAGATGTGCAGTGTGGCGTGGAGCTAGACATGAGGTCCGGGAGTATTGTTGATGGAGGAGATGGTCACAGATGAAGAGGCAGAGATCAGCGAATCACAAATAGCAATCACAAGACTAGAAGCTACTAGTGGTCTTTAACAAGAACTTCATTTGGATAGAGCTGTCAGTAATCAGTGTGGTGTTGTGTCACACTGCTCCTTGAATAGCCTGGACTGTGATGGTGAAATCTGCATCAGCTGGAACTGCTCTCAGCCACGCTTACCCGCAATGAGAGTACTCAGAGGAAAACGGTAGACAGAGACTCACACAGACTGCGACATTGTCATTTTTGTGTTTTTAAGGCTGATCAGCTGGATTGAGGATTACCTTCTGCCAGTGGGGCAAGCAATAGCTGTTTGCCTAGAATTCTTAGTCTGAGTTTAGAATTTTAGCCCACTGGCGTATCTTTTTTACTTGAAACAATAACAGTTTGATCATAATTAGGAATATTTGCATAATTTTAAGCAACACTATTGTTGTAGAGATTTTTTCTTTTCAGACTAGTTGTTTTCATGAGCCATTCCCTCAACCCGTAAATAAATAAATTCAAAGGGTCAAGCTGCGCATGCACACACACACACACACACACACACACACACACACACACACACACACACACACACGCACGCACGCGCGCGCACACACACACACACACGCGCGCGCACACACACACACACACGCGCGCGCGCACACACACACAGGCAAAAGCATGATCAAGCAGAAGTTCCCACCTGAGTTAATTTTAGGTAGAAATGAAAGAATTCTCTTTTAAAACATTCAGAATCTGTCTTGCTCACAAATGAATCTGATTTATTTATTACAATGAAGCAATTCAGTTACTGAAGAAATGCTCATTACTAATATTCCTCATGAAGTAAAAATGGGGAACATCCAGTAATCATCATATGAACCAGGGGGGCTCAAGACATGGATCACGACTGACCAAAGCCAGCGCTGGCAGGTCATGAGACAGAAACACTGTTTTCTGGTTCTACTAACGAATGACTGAGTCAGCTGTTCCTGTTCTCATTGCATTTTGGAGCTTAGATTACAGGAGTCGTAGTGGCGTCACCAAAAAGAGAAAAAAGCCGAATAAATGCCCCACCCCTACCCTCACCCTTCCTCTCCTGCAGCTCATCGTACCTCTGCAACAGGCTCAGACTGTGGTAGAATAACAGGACATGGGTTTAATCATCATAAAACAGGGTCTGCTGCAATTATTGGTCTCATTATGGTGGATTTCAGGTAACACTAAACTTTCAAGAGGGTTGGAAACACATTTGTAATTTCCTCCTTTCAGTTATCTTTTACTGTTATAAGTGCAGGTTTTTCTGAAGCGAGTGATGTCACCCAGAGCCCGTTTGTGTGGAAGCAGGAAGGTGAAGACGCAACGATGGACTGCAGCCACACTAAAGGCGATCTATACTTCCAGATGTACTGGTACTGGCAGCTGCCAGGAGAAACCATGAGACTTATCGTCTTCACAAGCACGGGCATAAGTCAGCACGACTTTGGAGATTTCAGTAAAGAGAAATTCTCAGCCACCAAGACGGTCGCTCAGAGTGGGACGTTCACTGTGAAGAATCTGGAGCTGAAAGATGAAGGCTTGTATTTCTGTGCAGTCAGTAAGCACGGTGATGCAGGCTGAGGAAAATGCTTCACAAAAACCTGGATGTGAGATAATCACATCAAAGCTTCTGCAGGGACCTCATGCAGCTCACACACGTTCTCTACACCTCGTCCTTCACACCCACAGCTGCAGGATGCTGATATTTTGGTTTATTAGAACATTTGTCTAATCCTTCACACCTGATGGGGATGAACTTCAGATAAACACAGAGCCCCTTACAGTCATTTAGTCAACATTAATCCAACAAAAACGTAGATGTGTGAAACACAAACTCCAAATCTACTTTTATGCCTTTACAGCTAAAACATGAAAATAAAAACTTGAATTAGTTTCAAGGATTGCCTGGAGGAAACAACTTCTTTCTAAAAGATTAAAGCAGTTTTTTTAATTTGCCAAACTACATCAAAACAACTCAGATCAAGTCATTTTCAGTCCATTGAGATCAAAGTCAACATATTTACCTGTTTTATGGGCAAAACAGGAATGCATTTGATCTGTTACCTACCAACTGCCAAGCACAGAGGTGGAGGGTGATGATTTGGGCTTGTTTGCATTAAAAAGTGAAAGGCTCATGAAATGGCTAACTATGGAAGAATAGTCAAAAAAGGAGCTGCTGACGTGACTTTGTTTGAGACTGATTTTGTACAAAGACCTTCACGAACATGCTTTGTAGACCATAGAATGATTATAACTTGTGTACTGAATACTTTCTACTTACTCTTACTACTAACAACAAATTAATTAAAGCTATAATGAGGTTTTTCTTTGACAGTTTTATCAAATATATAGAGAATGGAGTCAGCTCAAAAATACTAACACACACTAATTACTTACCACCAACAGGGGGAGACAAATCACAGCTAAAAACAAAGATCTCCACATCCCAGAAACACATTTTTACAAAAAACTGTTGCATGTTTTGTAAAGATAACCTGGAGGATCTGACGCCTTCCTAGACACACTTTCTCTGTGCTGAACTCCTGGACACAGAGAGTAGACCCATCTTAAACATGGAGCTGAGTTTCCTTTAATTCTTGTTTCTTCTTCATCTGCAGGTTCATGATGGCGACTGTTCCAGAAAAACATTCCAGATAAAAATGTTCCACTGCACAATGGCTTCAAACATGTATATAAACGTGTTAGTTTTTTCGTAAACCATTGGATGAAATTACACAAACTGACTGAGCTCTAGTTAAGGCTCTTGCAATAGTTTGTGTATGTGTTCGTGCGTGCGTGTGCGTGTGTCTGTTTGGGGGAGGGTACATTGGAACTTTGTCCCACCAGTTTGAAAATCCTATCTGCGCCCCTGGAAATCATCCAGACCCCCATGGTGGTGAAACACCAGGGTGAAGAGGCAATAATGGAGTGCACACAATCCAAGGGAGAATACCATGCTATGATGTTCTGGTTGAAAAAGCTGCCAGGAGGACCAATCAGACAAGTTGTGTACAACATTGCATTTAACAAACCTCTCTTTGAACCAGATTTTAATGATGGAAGATTCTCAATCATGAAGTTGGATCATTTCAAAGGGAATGTAACGGTGAAGAAACTGGTGCTGGGAGATGACGGCCTGTACTACTGCGCTGTTGCTAGTCCCAAAGATACACGGTGGTACAATCTCACTCAAATCCTGAACAGAAACCTCTGTGCTGTCAGCACCTTTTTACCCTTTTACCTCATGTAGCCCAGAGAGATGTAAGATAGCAGGAAACACAGTAACACGGAGAGAAGGTCCTCCACCTGCAGCTCTTATCTCTCCTACTCTGCTGCTGTTTGTGAATCTTCCACAAGATGACCTTCTCCTGCACTGGATGCTAAACAGATTTCTATTAGAGTTTTGCTTCATGATGCAAAGTTTTCACTGAAGACTTATTTCTAATTTGCAGAGCATTTTGTGCATGTCATTGCTCGTTAGTGGTTCAGTCCTTCATTGTGCTGTCATTGTAAACTGACCCTCCGTGACGTCATTTTCTTGATTGGTGAAAACAAACAAGTGAGACACATGCGTTTCACTGTCTTCACATGATCTCACACCACACCTCCAACATCTCACGCCGAAAAGGCAGTGGACCTGTAGTGACTGACTTGTGAGGACCCGAGCAGACAACCACCCAGAATGACGTTTAAAAGTTTTATTAAAAGCTTATTCCTGAAGCTGAGGTAGGAACTCTAAGCAGATTGCTCAAAGATCTCCCCAAACACTTGGTAATCAAAGACAAAGTGAAGGAGCGGTGTCAGCGGACGGGCTTGGGTCAGAACCAGGGAAACAACAAGCAGAATAATTCATTAGGGAGTAGCTAGAATGGAGTCAGCAAACCGATCTGGGTCTTTTTCAACACAACAGAGGCCGGTGAGATATCCAAGTGTGGTTAGGAATGAGGAATCACCCATGAACAGAACACTGAACATGTACTCAACCAAGGACGAAATTTTCACTTAAGAAGTGGGGGGGACACGGGGGGGGGGGGGGTATCTTTGCAGTATGTTCTAATGGGAAACAGGCTTCAACACAAACTGTTGTTTTCCGCTTGGTCCTAGAGCTCAACCAGTGTCAATTTAATATAGCGTAATATTGTTTTTGGATGGTAAAAAGTGCAGGGGTCAAAACTTGACTTTGGAAAAAGTGGGGGGGACATGTCCCCCCTGTCCCCCCCCAAAATTACGTCCATGTACTCAACACAAGCTTTCTATAATCTGGCAAGGAGTTAGTGGCTGGTGAACAGGTGAGCAACATGAGCTTTATTACTGGACGCAGGTGTGGCAGGTGATGAGATCAGCCTGCCGTTGTCATGGAGATGGGAGCAGGCAGGCTGGATCATGACAGGACCCCTGAGGGTCCCCCACCCCCCTCAGGGACAATGGAGGGATGTAACACTAAGCCCAACCTGACCCCCCCCCCCCACCCCCACCCACCAAGAGAAAAGCACTGATCACAAATCAGCACCTAAATCCCTCAAGTTTGACTTAATTTAATTTAAATTGACTTTGTCTCTTGATCAGAGGAATGACATTCTCCTGAACTACAATCAGACAATAAATCTTTCTGGAGTTTAACTAAACTCAGTAGTTTAATCTATAATGTTCTGCACAGGAACCATTCTGACAAAAGAGCTCAGCATCTTAGAGTTAAACAGCTGAAAGTCGTCTGCATAAAGAGATATCATGAAATTTAAGATGGGGTACATTTGTAGTAAAAACAGGAGTGGGCCCAAAGCAGAGCCTTGTGGTGCTCCGCCTAGCCGATCAGTTTTGATTATGTTTGTATGGACTGTAAAACTTCAATTTGAAAGGATTGATCTTAGATCTAAAAGGCGTTGAAGCAGTAATGTGAACCAGTGAGATGAAACAATAGAACAGGAAGAGGAGGAAGGTGTGTAAAAGACACCTCCCACAACATAAAGTGTCCATTTAATCAAAAGGAAAGTTAGAAATGATCTTTATTCAACTGCAACAAAATGATCATCGTTTTCATTTCAATTTGTTTTAACTCTATTCTGGTTTCAGGTAATTTCATTTTTTTAAATTTATATCTTTAAAAAAGTTTAAATGCTCATTTGTTTTCCCCTTCATTTTAGTTATTTTTGTTTAGTTAGATTTTTACTGTTAGTAGCCTACATGTTGATTTATCTCATGATTTAATCAACCCTTTTTCTACAGGTTCTCTCAGCGACAAAGTCCACCAGAATCCAGCTGTCATTGTCAAAATTCCTGGAGAAAAAGCTCAAATCCAGTGTTCACACACAATTACAAACTATGACACAATCCTCTGGTACAAACAGTTGAAGAATGGACATTTAGAGCTACTGGGATACATGTATAAAAACTTTGAGAATCCAGAGAAAGGAGTGAAGGTGACCATGGATGGAAATGCAGATAAAAACCAAACATGCTTGTTAACAACTGAAGCACTGAGCTTGAAAAGCAGCGCTGTGTACTTCTGTGCTGCCAGTTACCACAGCTCTACATGTCACTGATTCTTAGTGCAAAAACCTCAATTTTTCTTCTTCTATCACAAACATTCAGCTGTTTTATGAACACTCGTTAGGTGGCAGTGTGTCTCCAGTCAGACCTTTACTCTAAACCACTTCTGTGGTGAGTACTACAGCAGAACCAGGAGGAGGATGGACTACGACACCGCCCATCTAATCACGACGTTTGCTGATTCTGTAGTTGATTCAGAAACACGGTGGTAAATGTGCTGCACGTGCATGAAGGGAGACAACTAAATATTATTCTGTTTTCTAGCTTTCTAACTAAATATCAGGAGATCCCATGATGCTCATCTTCTTCTTCAGCATTACTTTTACCACCATGCTGGTTTCAGGTAATGTCCTCCGAATAATTAGAGCATTTTGAAAATGTAAAATCTGCATTTTTTTATTAATATAAACTGTTCTTGTTTCTGAATTTCCTCGTTTTAAGATGATTTGAATTCCTTTTCCTGCAGACTCTTCTCCCAACGACCAAGTGCATCAGTCTCCACTAGAAATGTTCAACACATTAAACAGTGAAGCTGAAATTTAGTGTTTTCACATCAGTGATAGCGTTGACACAATCCTCTGGTACAAACAGTCAAACATGCAGCTCCTGGGATACATGTTAGCAGGCTCTGAAAATCTAGAGACAGGAGTGAATGTGAAGATTAATGGAGGTGCAAATAAAGGAGAAAAGTGCACGTTAACAATCAAAGAACTCAGCCTGAACAGCAGTGGAGTTTACTTCTGTGCTGCTAGTTAACACAGTGCTCCTGCATGCTAACCAGTGCTGATGTGAAGGATGGGTAGTCTACATCTTACTTATGAACCATAAAATGTGAGATTCCATAGAAATATGAAATATCAATCTGATGGATCTTTGAATATTTTAACCAGAAGATCTGAACTTTTTATTGCAGGGATTACGTGACACTTCGTATTAACTCCAAGGAAAGAGAGAGAGTCAGGTTTAAAATAGTTAAGAAATTTATTTCTACACAATTTAAACAAGACTAACTTTAACACTCTGTGTACTGATGGAACTAAGGTGGAGTGAGACGTGAGATGAATGATGGTGTGTGTGTGTGTGTAATGTTATTATCAGAACCAGCGGATCCGGAGAAGCAGTTAGTTCTGAGTGGGAGTGAATGATTCAATCTAAACTTTAGTAGGAGATTTATAACACACATGAAACGCCATCTGTCGGTCTACGTACCACAGGGGAAGCCTCCATTAGATCCAGAATGTCGAGGACCTCTTGGACCCTCCTTGGAACTGAAGCCGGTAGAAAAGCAGCAGTGCCGACCAAACTAGTCTGGGAATGCTTCCAGGTCACGACAGGGTATCACTGGCGTCTCCGAGACCCTAAAGGGGTCGTGAGGTTCAGCTTTTATTCTGAAGGAACCGTTGCAGTCAGGTGTAACTTGCAACAGATTTTATCCAGCTTGTCGAGGTTCTTTTTGGCTGAAGAGGAAGTCCGGATGGCCTGTCCGAGATTTCTCTAGAACACTTTGAACTAAAGAAAAGGTGGCGTGGAATAGTTTTTATAATTGTCATATTTTGGTTTACTGGCGAATCAGAATTTGACATGCAAAAGAGGGTTTCTACAAATACCACAGAAAACCACGCCTAGCCAGAAACGAAGGTTCTGATTGAATCAGACAAAGGAAATGTGTCGAGTGGCTTTAGCATTACGTGTCTTCAGTGTCTAGTGCAATTGTCCAGGATTATAATAACTTGTAAAATACTACTGATCACAGGATTATAATATCAAGTAATAACATTGTCATTTCACAGATAGATTGAACATTGGGCTCACATTATTATTGGTAATAACAAAGTTGTTTGATCATGTATTTATCAAAAGAGAGTTCTTCGTCTTCGTCTTGAGCTGTAACAGAGGTGAAGCAGTTCAGATGAGCAGAGTGCATGAAAGACCTTGGCCACTATTTCATGTAGATTAGGTCTGTCAGAGACTTCATGTCTGCTCGAGCTGACGCAGCAGATCATGACCTTTAGATCAAAAACAGGACATTCATGACGCTACATTGGCTTTTCATCTGATTTAATCAAGGATCAGAATGGGAGGTTCTCATGTAGCGATGGCTTCAACCCTCCTTCCTTTGTTTTTAGATGGCAGCGAGCTTCACCAGCAGCATTTCAGCACCACCATATGATGGCCCTGATCCTCCTCACATGTGTGCTCCTGTCTTTGTGGCTTAAAGGTGGAAGAGCTTATGGAGAACGTGTTTTTCTTATGATTATATGATAAATGTTTCAGTTTAGACTGATATGTCTTTCTCTTCCTGTGGAGCTAACATGAAGATGACACATTGCCTACAGCAGAGGTAACTTTACCTGCAAGCAGATAAATCATGTTAAACTTAAGATGTTTACTTATGTTTACTCCTACTAAAGTGGGAAGCCCGACTACGGCCAGAGCTCTCAGAGCAAATACTCAGCAGTCAAAGACAGCATAGAGACCGGCGCTCTGACTGTGAAGAACGTGCAGCCTGATGACAGAGGGCTGTACTTCTGTGCTGTCAGTAAACACAGTGATGTGAGAAGAGGGAACAGCTGAACAAAAACCTGACTTCTAATTTATCTGTCTGATGCTTTTAATATTAAACTGGCTGATTTTATTCCAGTAGAGGGCGCTGGAGCCCATTTATCTACATTTGAGTAGACAGCACTTCTAAGATATGCTAGTCCTGTGTCTTACTGAGCTGCAATCTGAGGTTAAAGTGACAGTGTGTAGTTTCCCTTGCGATAGGGGGCAGTAGATGCATAAATCGTTGCAAGCAAGCAGTATTTTTGTGTTGGAGAAAGACCGTACCAACAGATGCCCATTAGGGTCAAAAACCCCTGGGAAGTGCAAACTTTAGCAAAATAACAAGAACATCAGACTCCCTTTCATCAGTGGCAACAAGTGAAGAGGTAAATGTGCAAAACAACATTTAAGAATGACAAAAGTTTTGAAACCGTTTTTTTTAAACAAATCATTAAATGCATTTTGTCTTCATGGGCTCTCGTAGAAGGAAACATGGCATCTAATATGGTGTCGCCCAGAGACTTAGACCTGCTCCCATGTATTTTAGCCCTGATATTTATGATTATATGTCACAAAGCCGCCAATGTTTTTCAACAATTGGGCATCATTTCATTCATTTTCAACAACATTTTGATGGATGTTTCCAGAAATGAGTGGTTAAAACTACACATTGTCCCTTTAAGTTTAAATATATCCAGAAAATCATTCTTTCTCCCTCTGAAAATATTTTTGTGAATACTTGAGGAATCTTGATCACTGAACAGGAAAATGGGAATTTCCACAACCACTACTGGTTTTTATCCTAACTAGGGTCACGGGAAACTGGTGTCTTTAGTTGACCAGCAGACTGCTGAAAAAGAGGAAGAAGAGATGGAATAAAGCCTAAAATCAGGAAAAGTCTCAACTACCACAAGCTGTTTCCATTACCAACAGACATTGTAACCATTTATTTTATTTGTAAAATGAACCTGAGATAAAGGATAAAACTCATTCCTAAGGAAAAGGAATGTGCCATCTCACTTCAACCAAAGCCTAATCTGGGAGTAGATGACAGGCTGTAATTATAGCAACAGTAAACATGCACCACTGGAGTTCAACACACTGAGAAGACGGGTGACCATGAAGACAGGGTGCTGGGAACATCCACTCATGAATATGTTGTCTTTAACAAGGTTTGTGTTTGAAGATAGTGAGGACTGTGAGGATGGATGAACTAATCTGTCTGATATGGACCGATTCTAGGGGAGATCTTCATCTTCATTAAATAAATTTCTCAGTACTCAACAGAACACAAGAGGAGGATAAACATCTCAACAACCCCCGGCAGGGGTGGCAGAGTTTACAGACCATCACCAACTACAGAAACTGTGTTCTGACACCAGGGGACTCTATAGCCATCACTCTCCATTCAGCTCTGAGTCATCTGGAACAGCAGGGGAGCTACGTCAGGATGCTTTATCATGACATCAGTTCAGCTTAATACCATAGATTCTGATCCCCAGGCTAGCCAAGCTGTGGCTCCCACCACTGACCTGCTCCTGGTCAGCCGACCCCAGCAGGTGAAAACCCTCCTCCTCTTGATCTCAGCCTGGGCTCTCCTCAGGGCTGTGTGACGGGCCCACTGCTCTACTCCCTTACATGTCAGACTGCACTGCCGCAGAACATCGTTGTAGTATTTGTTGATGACTACTGTGATGAGGTCCTGAAACTGGGTGTGGGGTATGCATCAAACCCCTTGATATCCACAATGCTTGAATACTGAGTTCATGTTTGCACTTATGTCCCATATTTGTTTGGTTTATGTCAACTTACATTTGTGTTGTGCTGTGTGTGCGCACCTTAACAGAGTATAGTGACATTAAAGAATGTCATTAATTCATGCATTCATTGATTCTAAAGTGTACACAGTGTTTAGTGGTCTGCTGGACCAGGATGAGACCCTTTTCACTAAATGTTTACTTGTACAGGACAGCATTGAGACTGGAGCAGTGTTAACCCTACAGCCTGGTGGGGGTGGGCGGAGGGATGTCCTCTTGATTCTTTGTGAAAACAACTGACTGCCACTTTCTCTGTGGGAAGCATCAAAAATCATCGTAGATTTTCCAGTAGATGGTGCTGAAGCTCCATGAAAGGGTTAAAAGGTGATGAGAGTGGTGTTACATAATAAAAGGGATTGCTGTAGAACGTTAGACCCACACATGTTAACGTGTTCACTAAGTCAGCAGGTTTATGTTTATTTGTTCGGCAGACGCTTTTATCCAAGGTGACTTACAATTTATAACCTATAGGGCATGTTGTGATCTGTGGGGGAAACCGGAGTACCCGGAGGAAACCCACGCATGCATGGGGAGAACACGCAACTCCACGCAGAAAGGCAGCAGCCGAGTATTGAACCTGCAACCTTTGTGCTGCGAGGCAACAGTGCTAACAACTGCGCCACCATGCAGCCCACCATGTCACCATGCTGACACTTTTTCTTTTGGTTCATCGGTAACCTATTTCCACAGCTAAGAGCTTTATTTTTTTACAATTCTTAATAATTCTAAATGTTTTTCCATCTCTCCAGGTGTTGGTCTGGGCGTGGAGGTCCATCAAACACCTCCAGCAGCTCTGAGAAAACTCGGAGACAAAGTCCAGCTGGTCTGCAGCCATGGGAGGATTGACTACACCTTAATGCAGTGGTACCAGAGATCTGCTGGAGGCAGAGCTCTTGACGCAGATCGGACATGAGTCCTACAGCCGTGCAGAACATGAAAAGGACTTTGAGCAACATTTAAGTTTCTCTGGAGATTTGAGTGGAGAGACAGGAAAGAATGTGTCTCTGTTCATCAGCGACCTGAAGGCTGAACACTCAGCGGTGTACTACTGTGCAGCGAGCGATGCACATCGACAGCAGAGTTGCGTTCTTCATACAAAAACCCAGGATCAGATTCTGTCAGTGGTTTTAAATCAGAGCTAGAATAAGCCCCGCCCATCATCTCACTCAGCATCCACTGTCTTTCCAAAGCTCAGTCAGCTTAGCAGCAGCTCATGACATGGTTGGATTTTCACTAGTGTTAGTAAAGGTAATGGGAGTAAAGTCAACATGATTACTTTGCTGCTTTTGTGTTTTGTCTCAGGTAACCTGGCTTCAGTTAACTAGTACAGTTTAACCTTTTAGACGGATTTCTGTCACAGTTTGCCTTTCTTGTTCCAGGTATTAGTCTGGGTCTTGAGGTCCGCCAGTCTCCCTCTGATCTCTTCACTAATCCTGATGGCAAAGTTCAGATTTTCTGCACACACGATAAAACCGACTTCAGAGCGATGCTCTGGTACCAGAGGTCACCTGGAGACACAGCTTTGAAGCTCATCGGATATCTGTACCACAAAGCTGTCTCAATGGAGGACCAGTATAAGCATGGGTTTGACCTTACCGGGGATTTAGGCGGAGATGCGACAAAGAATGGATCTCTGCTCATTAAACATGTAAAACCTGGACAAAGTGCTGTTTACTTCTGTGCAGCAAGCAGAGCACAATGACAGAAGCTCCTTCTGATCGTTACCAAAACCATTTTCTGATATTCTGTGGTTCAGACACCTGCTGCTGTGGGTTTTTCATGTGCTTTTATATTATTGATGAATGTACAGCTTTAATCTGGATTGGGTAGTGGTTAGTACTGTTAACATAATAGTAATTTTCTGTGTGGAGTTTGCTTGTTTTCATGGTTTTCATCATTCCTGTATGCTGCAGGCTTTCACACACAGGTTGTTACGTCCTCAAATGATGGATAAGGAGAAGGACAGGGAGTAACACAGAGGCATGTGTTTCAGGTGTTAAAATAGTAAACAATGATTTTATTAAAAGGATTTTAAAATGACAAAAAGCTCCAAATCTAAAAGTACTTAAATCATACTGTTAAAATGGCCAAGGGGTTTCGTTTAGAACTTAGTTCTCCCCCACCTCAAGACCCTCACAGCCCCCCTCCTGGACCCCCTGCAGTTTGCATACAGAGCAAACAGGTCTGTAGATGATGCAATCAACATGGCTCTACAATTCATCCTGCAGCATCTGGACTCCCCAGGTACCTATGCCAGGATATTGTTCGTGGACTTCAGCTCTGCATTCAACACAATCCTGCCAGACCTCCTCCAAGACAAAATGTCCCAGATGAACGTGCCTGACCCCATCTGCAGGTGGATCACTGACTTCCTGACAGACAGGAAACAACAAGTCAGGCTGGGGAAGAATGTCTCGGACCATCAGCACCGGCTCACCACAGGGCTGTGTTCTTTCCCCTCTGCTCTTCTCCCTGTACACCAACAGCTGCACCTCCAAGCATGAGTCTGTCAAACTAATTAAGTTTGCTGATGACACCACCATCATTGGACTCATCTCTAATGGGGATGAGTCCGCTTACAGAATGGAGGCTGAATGGCTGGTGTCCTGGTGCAGCCACAACAACCTGGTGCTAAACACCCAGAAGACAGCGGAGGTTATTGTGGACTTTAGGAAACACACACACCCCATCCCCCCCTTAAACCTCTCTGACACTCCCATCACGATGGTGGACTCATGTCGTTTCTTGGGCACCACCATCACCCAGGACCTCAAATGGGAGCCCACCATCACCACCATCAGAAAAAGGGCCCAGCAGAGGATGTACTTCCTGAGGCAGTCAATGAGGCATTTCTACACCGCTATCATCGAGTCCACCCTCACCTCCTCCATCACCGTGTGGTACGCTGGAGCTACCACCAGGGACAAGAAGAGGCTGCAGCGTGTCGTGCGCTCTGCAGAGAAGGTCATTGGCTGCAAACTCCCCTCCATTCAAGATCTGTACACCTCTAGGACATTGAGGCGTGCAGGTCGGATAATAGCTGACTCGTCTCACCCTGGACACAGTCTCTTCGACTCGCTCCCATCTGGCAGAAGGCTCAGATCCATTCGGACCAGAACCTCTCGCCACAAAAACAGTTTCTTCCCCTCTGCAGTTGGACTTTTGAATGAACATCCTAGGGCAGCCCACTCAAGTTGATTGGTCCCAGTCACGTGACCCGATGCTGTGCTTGAACCATTCAACAAACACTCAGATAAATACCTACACGGAGTAGATACAGGTGCTGGCCAGTAAATTAGAATATCATCAAAAGGTTGAAAATATTTCAGTAATTCCATTCAAAACGTGAAACTTGTACATTATATTCATGCAATGCACACAGACCAATGTATTTCCAATGTTCATTACATTTAAATTTGATATTCATAAGTGACAACTAATGAAAACTCCAAATTTGGTATCTCAAAAAATTAGAATATTCTGAAAAGGCTGAATATAGAAGACACCTGCTGCCACTCTAATCAGCTGATTTACTCAAAACACCTGCAAAGGCCTTTAAAAGGTCCCTCAGTCTTGTTTTGAAGGCACCACAATCATGGGGAAGACTTCTGACTTAACAGCTGTCCAAAAGACAATCATTGACACCTTGCACAAGGAGGGCAAGACACAAAAGGTGATTGCTAAAGAAGCTGGCTGTTCGCAGAGCTCTGTGTCCAAGCACATTAACAGACAGGCGAAGGGACGGAAAAAATGTGGTAGAAAAAAGTGTACAAGCTCTAGGGATAACCGCACCCTGCAGAGAATTGTGACGACAAACCCATTCAAAAATGTGGGGGAGATCCACAAAGAGTGGACTGCAGCTGGAGTCAGCGCTTCAAGAACCACCACGAGGAGACTCATGAAAGACATGGGATTCAGGTGTCGCATTCCGTGTGTCAAGCCACTCTTGAACATGAAACAGCGCAAGAAGCGTCTCGCCTGGGCCAAGGACAAAAAGGACTGGACTGATGCTGAGTGGTCCAAAGTTATGTTTTCTGATGAAAGCAAGTTCTGCATTTCCTTTGGAAATCAAGGACCCAGAGTCTGGAGGAAGAGCGGAGAAGCACAGAATCCACGTTGCATGAGGTCCAGTGTAAAGTTTCCACCGTCAGTGATGGTGTGGGGTGCCATGTCATCTGCCGGTGTTGGCCCACTCTGTTTCCTGAGGTCCAGGGTCAATGCAGCCGTCTACCAGGAAGTTTTAGAGCACTTCATGCTTCCTGCTGCTGACCAACTTTATGGGGAGGCAGACTTCACCTTTCAACAGGACTTGGCACCTGCACACAGTGCCAAAACCACCAGCACCTGGTTCAAGGACCATGGTATCCCTGTCCTTGATTGGCCAGCAAACTCGCCTGACCTTAACCCCATAGAAAATCTATGGGGTATTGTGAAGCGGAGGATGCAATACGCTAGACCCAACAATGCAGAGGAGCTGAAGACGACTATCAGAGCAACCTGGGCTCTCATAACACCTGAGCAGTGCCACAGACTGATCGAGTCCATGCCACGCCGCATTACTGCAGTTATTGAGGCAAAAGGAGCCCCGACTAAGTATTGAGTGCTATACATGCACATTCTTTTCATGTTCATTCTTTTCAGTTGGCCAACATTAGAGAAACAAACATTTTTTCATTGGCCTTTAGAATATTCTAATTTTCTGAGATACCAGATTTGATGTTTTCATTGGTTGTCACCTATAAATATCAAAATTAAACGTAATAAACATCGGAAATACATTGGTCTGTGTGCATTGCATGAATATAATGTACAAGTTTCACGTTTTGAATGGAATTACTGAAATATTTTCAACCTTTTGATGATATTCTAATTTACTGGCCAGCACCTGTAGCTGCTTCGCTAATTCTTGCCACTTTTTACATTAATAATTTTATCATGAGTGTTTTATTAGTTCTTATATTTGCTTATCTCTTAATTTCTTTTCTATCTTACCTTCTGCACCAAAATACCGCAGCAATTTCCTAATGTTGTGACTCGGCACACATATGGCAATAAAAACTTCTGATTCTGATTAAAACAGACATCCGAATGCTCCCAAACCTTCCCTAAACAAAGTACACTGACTTAAACACAAGTTTGGGAGCCAATAGGAAGCCAGCACTCTGGTCCCTCGTCTGTTAAAAACCTCTAAAAGTTGTTAAGCTTCACCAAGCGTAAACAACTAAAACACATTTAAGAGGCATTAAAACACAAACAATTGGAGCACATGAGAGAACTGGCACAGATCCAGTCTCTCCTTTCTCCTGGCAGCTCTCCTTTTTATGCTGCTCTGGAGGTGATCAGCCTAAGTGAGTGCAGCTGTGCAGGTAGGAGGAGGTTGCTGCTGATTGTCCTGCAGAGTCAGCTTTCTGGGACAAAACAGCAACAGCTGTAACACAGGTAATAAACAAAAACATGCAAGCTTGGTTAACTGGTGATAGAACAAGTAAAAAAAAAAAACAAGTAATCACTTCATTTTCCATCAACATCTCCTCCCAGGAACCTACACTTCCTGCCACGTGAGTTTTTTCATCACTTCCTGTTCTGTTTCATATCCCCTGACCCAGCAGTCGATTCTCTTTCTGGGTGATGACACTGAGCTACAAACTTCATGTATTTATTTAAGCTGAAGATTTAAACATATGCTATAAAAGACAAAATTATGTTGCTTTTCATTTTCTGCTACCTGCCAGGTGATTATTAGTATGGATGTAAACTCTTCTGAAGTCACAATTGCCTTGCTCATAGTTCTCTTCCTGTCTTGTTCCAGGTATTAGTCTGGGTCTTGAGGTCCGCCAGTCCCATTCAGATGTCATCACCATCCCTGGAAAAAAATGTTCAGATTTTCTGCACACACGATAAAACCGACCACACACTGATGCTCTGGTACCAGAGGACACCTGGAGACACAGCTATGAAGCTCATCGGATATCTGCTCTACAAAGCTGTCACAATGGAGGACCAGTATAAGGATGGATTTGACCTTACTGGAGATGCAACAAAGAATGGATCTCTGCATATTAACACAGCCAGATCTGTACAAACTGCTGTTTACTTCTGTGCAGCAAGCAAAGCACAATGACAGAAGCTCCTTCTGATCGTTACAAGAACTCGAACATTTTTTTAATAATTGTTGTTTTCAATCTGGCTCTTGAGCACCTGCTTGTGTGGGGCGACGGTGGCACAGGAGTTAAGTGCTCGCCCCGTAATCGGAAGGTTGCAGGTTCGAGCCCTGCTCAGTCTGTCGCTGTCGTTGTGTCCTTGGGCAAGACACTTAACCCACGTTGCCTACTGGTGGTGGTTGGAGGGACTGGTGGCGCCAGTGCTCGGCAGCCTCGCCTCTGTCAGTGCGCCCCAGGGCAGCTGTGGCCACATTGTAGCTCATCCCCACCAGTGTGTGAAAGGGTGAATGACTTTTTGTGTTGTAAACCGCCTTGAGGGTGTAGCGGAATATAGTTGGTATACTCTTACACTTTATTAAGGTACAGAGATTAATCTTACCTTAGAATCAGAAGAGGTTGTTTTTACCACAGGGAATTTTTTTCAAACACTTTGTATTGACATAGAGACAAGAAAAGAGAAATATGGGACGTTTAAGAATATTTATTTTATAATTATTCGAAACAATCACCAGGACTAACTCTCTAATGATGGATGCAGATGGATGTGATGCTGACGTGTTGGTGTGTGTGTGTGTGTCAGTTCAGAATCTCCATCTGATGCAGGCGAGTCTGAGGGTAAGATGTTGTTTTGACTAACTAACCACGAGGGACTTCAGGAGGAAGAGACATGAAACGCCATCTATGCCGATCTACGTACCGAACGCGGAGACCTCCGTATTAGATCCGGATGCCAGGTCCTCGACCCTCCTTGTGCTGGAACTGGTGAAACAGCGTCGGCAGCACGACAAACCAGTCTATAGATAGCCTCCCGGTACAACGGCAGATTTCAGCGTCATGTAGAGTTCAGCTTTTATTCTGAAGGAACCGTCGTCTCGTTGATAAAACGACAGAATTTTCCAGCTTGACAGTTCTCAGCTTACAAGTAAAAAAATACAGCTGGCCAGTCTGTACTTCACTTAGCGATGATGGACATCAGATGGATTTGAGAGCTGGTTGAACTCACGTTGGAACTACGTTGAAACTTGCGGTGGAACTGAATTAAAATGGCGTTTTTCTGTTTTATTAAGCTTAGTAGTTTATGATTCTTAGCCAATCTGAGTGGACAGATTAACTAAACACCACAGAACTCTGCCCCGCAACAGAGAGGAAGTTCTGATTGGATGAGTGAACAATGTGTCATGTGTTTATCTTATGTGGATCAGGGTGTCTAGCTCAGTTAGTCCTGTTATTCATTAAACACATAAAGCATAACATTGTGATTTCACAGATCAGTCACCTGATTATTATTGACCAACAGTTGTTTTGATTAGCTTTATTAGAAATAAAGTTCTTTGATTAACTAATGAAAAGCATTCTTCGTCCTTCTTCTGTCTTCTTTGCTAGAATGTAAACATCAAAAGCAAGCGCACGACCTTGGCAATTTATGCACACTGTCACTGTGTCAAAGGGCAGCTGTTAAGGGCAGAAATGACATATTCATAACGCTACAAGGGGTTCCAGGACTCTAAAAGGCGCTATATCAAATACAGGCCATTTACCATTGGTGTATTTTTCTTTCTCTTGCACGTCTAAAATGAGCTGGCAGTTTTCATTTGCTGTACTCAGTTGTGGAGCCACCTCACCTTTGACCCCATCGCCTTCCACAACAGCACTGAGGTCAGCCAGTGACCATAGAGCTGTCATCCTGAAGTTGGTGGACATGTTTAACTGCCTGACGACCATCTCAGGACGCCTGCTGGACCAGTTTACATACAGAAACAACAAATGAATGAAGGATGGAGTCAACTTAGAGCTGCGTTACATCCTAAAACATCTTAACCTTTCAGGGACATTTGCTAGGATCCTGCTTAAAGACTTCATGTCACCATTTAACTCCATCATTCTCGTCAAAACCGTTCCAGCCTCCACCTGTCAGTGGGTCACAGACCTTCTTACAGAAAGGAAGCATCAGGCAGAATAACATCCAAGACATGGACCTTGACCATCAACACTGGTGTCCCTCAGGGACGTGTGATATCCCCTCTGCTGTTCTCTCTTTGTATTTGAAACTGCACCTCAAAAAATTAGGTGGCAGTCTTTGGGGGCAGATCTGTGGCCCCTCACACTCACTGTTGGATGCTCCTATGGAGAAACCTTACATATACAAGCGCGTGAACGCACACAGGTGCTCTCCTAGGTATGGACTGGGGCATTTTCAACACATGTCTTGAGGCTGTGGTTGGCACAAAATGCACTGTGATTTATTGTCGTGTGATTGTTCAGTAAAACAATGTTGATTTTATATTTCCTCATCAGGTTGACACAGTGATAGCTTGCTCTTGTTGTATTGTTGTGTGTTTTTCTCTTTCTGCAGGTCTAGAAGCAGACTCTTGTTCATCATTGATTGTTTATTTTTGCGTCTGTCTTCTCAGTCTGCTCCAGGCTGGTCTGGCTCAATGGCCAAAGAAACATTGCAGAGATGACCACTAGGTCCAACCTGCCCTCTATCCAGGTCTTGAATCCTTAAGCCCTCCTGCTGTCCTATAGGGTGACCCCCTCCAGGACAGGAGATGATTGTGCAGGGTTATCTGAGTGACTTTTCTGAGGATTCCCTGTTGATATGTTTAAATTCTCAGGAAATAAAACAAAAACATGCATTAACATTTTATTGGTGTAAAACCAGCAAAGTCACTCCTCTTTTCACCAGCAACTCCTCCCTCCCAGTCGTATACACTTCCTGCTGCACCTTGAGGGTTTCGTTAGATGATCATTTGATTCTCATTCTGAAACACTGATCTTCAATGAGCAGCAAACTTCTGCGTTTTAATTCAGGCTGAAGATTTAAATAAATACAGAGAAAAGACAACATGTTTCATTATATCCTCCTCTTTTACCTGCCAGGTGAATAATCGTTAAAGGCATCATTGCATTCTAATGTATCAGTGTAATCTGATGTTCTCTTCCCTTTATGTTCCAGGTATTAGTCTGTGTATTGAGGTTCGTCAGTCTCACTCTGATCTCATCACCAAACCTGGAAAAAAGGTGGAGATTTTCTGCTCTCATGATAAAACCGACTTCTGGATAATGCTCTGGTACCAGAGGTCACCTGGAGACACACCCATGAACCTGGTTGGATATATATACAACAAAGCTGTGACCTTGGAATATAAAACTGATTTCAACATTTCTGGAGATCTGAGTGGGAACACAGCAAAAACGCCTCTCTAATAATTAATGCTGCAGAACAAAAACACAGTGCAGTTTATTACTGTGCAGCACGAGAAGCACAACGAGAAAACTCCTCTTTCATCTTCACAAAAACCAAAGACAATTTATCACAATCTGTGGTTTTCAATCCATAAAGAAACTAAACTGATGTCAAACACCTGTTTGTGTGGTTGTTTTGGTTCGCTGTCAGAAAAATGTACATTTTTTTATTCTTAGTTCTCCCACTGTCTTCATGGGTGACCCCGCCAGTAAAGTTGACTTTTGAGCAGGATGGATGGTTTATCCCTTGAGGTCCACGTGGCAGGGGTGAGGTGGTACTCACTCCTCACCCCTGCCACGTGGACCTCAAGAGATAAACCATGAATCCTGCTCAATGGTCAGATTTCCTGGCGGGGTCACCCATGAAGACAGTGGAAGGGTTAAATCTGCCGGCCCCGTGTGGGGATCTGGGCGGAGCCTTTGGCATTGGGTCCTGACTTATATGGTGCCGGGAAGACAGCAGGAGCATGCGGCAGTGCCTGGCCCAGGCTCAGGGGCCTCAGATGGACCTTGGCTCCTCTCAAATAACAACTCTGTCAAATCACAGAGGAGGGGGATGTCCAGGAGAGGAAGGACCCAACCTTACCTGATGTCTTGTCTTACATATTATGGAAGGTGTGCAAATGCAGGGATGGGAGTAGATATTCTGCTGGGGTGGGTCTGGGTTGGTGCCCTCGGACTCCGTGGGGCTCTGTGTTGCTGCTGCTTTGGGCTCTTTGGGCATTTTGGGAACAGAGGTGTCTATTGGGGCCAGCGGGGGAGCTGGCTCCCTGGAGGGCTTAGGCCAACCAGCCATTACTCCCCATCCCTGTACATTTTTGTCCTCCTGCTCCTTCACATCATCACACAAACATACACATAGGACCTTGCAAGTCAGGGACATGGGTATGGATCCCATTTCCGCATTCCTGTGGCAACCTGCCCCCCAGTTTTATTTGCACCTTAAACACTTCCACCAATGACATTCCACGCAAACATACACCTAGGGCCTTGGGAGTGAGCACACTCAATGGCATTTGGAAAGGGGATCTTTCAGCCTCATCCCGAGTGCCAGTGCCCACTTCCAATTTTAAACTGCACTTAGACACCGAGGGCTGTGGGGGGAAGTGGGGTTGTGTGGTGGCATCAGCTAGCGTAGGCCAGACGATGCCTGCACTGCCCGCTCACCACAACCATGGCATACACCTCATCAACACACACTAACACTGTACTGGAGCAGGCGGAGGGAGACTAGGGGTCTTAGCACACCTCTGCTGTCGCTTGGCTTCCCGGGGCTGGAGGCTAGGAGGCTAAGCCGTTTGTGGCAGTTAAGGTGATTTTGAGCAGTTTTTACAACAAGATCTAAATGTTTGCTGCTGCATAAATGAGACAAATAAAGATTTTTTTCTGTTTATTTAAAACTGAAATCGTATTAAAGCTACTGCGACGTCTCTACAATCTAAAGAGACGTGTCTAACTGAAGCCCTCTGGGTGAACAGGATAAATATGTAATCATGAGCTCTGGTATTTAAGGCAGCCATCTTTTCCTGCTCCACCTTCTAATGAGCAGAAACCGCCTTCAGAGACTCCAGTCGCTTCCTGAGATTCAACATGAAGCCTGAACTCCTCTTCTGCATCGTCACCGTCAGCTGGATTAAAGGTATCTCTAGACTCTCAACATAACTCTGCTGAAAAACTAAAGAAATTCACTCATTAAGTATTTTATATAATTTTGCAGGAGTTACTCTCAGCAAAGACGAGCAGGTCTTTCAGTCTCCAGCTGAACTTTTGGGTCAACCGGGCGATGAAGTCAGCCTGACCCTGGCTCATGAGATCCCGTCCTACGACACGGTTCTCTGGTACCAGCGCTCACCAGGAGACACGGCCCTAAAGCTCGTCGCCTACATTTATTATAAAATCCCAAAAGTTGAGCCTCCCTTTGAAAGCCACTTCAAAGTGAGCGGAGATGGAGAGAAGAAAGCTCATCTTCACATCCTCAACCTGACTCACTCAGAAGACAGTGGAGACTATTTTGGAGCAGCAAGTCTGCACGGTGATAAAGAAAGTGACTTTCTAATACAAAAACCTCAGTAATAAGATAGCAGGAAACCTCTGAAACCAAGCACTGCTGCAGTAGAAAACATTTAAATGTGCTCAAACACATTTATGGGAAAAGAGGAAACTGTTCATAATTATTCTAATAATATAAATTAAATCTGTTTGTGTCAGTTTCTTTAAAGACTTTACCCAGAAACCATTTGCTTTGTGTGAATCTGAACAGCAGAGAGCACTGAGAACACACAGACGGCATCAAGCCCCGCCCCCTTTAATAAAGGCTGATAAAGACACCCCCCACCCCCAGTTGGTTTTTCACTTATCCCTCTGCATTTGTACATCTGAGTCACAAACAAGTCCCAGTTTCATGTCCACTAATTTAAATTATGTTTAAAATATTAAACATTTTACACGGTTTTTGCTTTTTTGCAGGTAAGAATTAAAATACGTCTGATTTCTGCATCAGAACTTCCCGTCAGTCTTCTTTCAGTTTTCTCATTTCTCTTCCAGATGTTGTTGCACCATCATCGCTTGTGATCCAGCAATCACCTGAAAATGTCCTGGTACAGACAGAAAAAGAGGCCCGTCTCCATTGTTACCATGGAGACAACCGCTATCCCTACATGCACTGGTACCAGTCAAAGGCAGGCCAAAGGATGATGGACCTGATCGGACTTCTTTGTTATGAAAACCCAAATCTGGAGAAGAATTTTGAGAAGCGTTTCAACATGACGGGCCACTCCAAAGACAAAGCACAGCTGGTACTCTCCAGGATTAACCTGACAGATACAACACGGTACTTCTGTGCAGCGAGTCAGCACAGCTTTTAATTTCCTCTGGATCCTTTTACAAAAAGACGGTGAAGCATCAAACGTACACCTGCATCATGATAGAGAAACACTCTCCTCTCAGTGCTTCAAAGAAAAATCTCAAGATCATAAAAACATTTGATTTCCTCTACATCATTCACTATTCTTGCTATTGGCTGAGTTGGTGACATCACTTCCTGCAAAGAGACCTTAAGTGGTTGCTTGCTGCGTTGGAATCAATGTTGTTTCACCGTCTGAAGTCACAATGACTCCAGGAATGATGACCTTAACACTCTTTCTACTTTATCCTGCAGGTAAATGTGAAATTAATCTTTTTCATGTATTCTCTAATTGAACTTTACTCACATGATCTTCTTTATGGTTCAGGTGTCTGTGGGTCTATTCTCATCACTCAGTGGCCTCCATGCATCTCAAGTCCTTCTAACAGCCTTGCAGAAATCCACTGCTACCAGAACCACACATCTTACCAGTATCTGTACTGGTACAGGGAGCTGGGAGGAGGAGACATCCAGCTGATTGTGTATTTGATAGCTGGTAATCCAAACTATGAAGAAGGATTCAAATCAGGTTTTGAGACTCGGGTGCAGGACCAGCAGTGGACTCTGATGATATTGAGCATTCAGGAGAAGGATGAGGCTGTTTATCTGTGTGCTGCCAGTCCCACAGTGCTACATCAGACCTCAGCACTGAGACAAAAACACCAAACACACACCTGACTCTCAGATTAATACTCAAACAGAGGGAACCCACTCGACAGAAAATGTTTCCAACACTCAGTAAATTAGTTCTTGACTGAACATGTAACAGGTGTGTAAAAGGGTAGCTAATTGATATTTCATCCTAAATCCACCTTTACCTTTTGTGTAGCTCAGTTTTCTTTCTGTAATGCATTTTATTTTGGTAGGGAAGCTTTTATTTTTTACTACCCTTTATGGTGTTGTATGTCACCCATGTGTTTGCGCCACTTTCCTCAGTTTGCGCTATGCTTCCCTGAAGAGACTGTGGCCCGGTCACTCTATTCACCCTGCACCCTAAAGCCTTCTGTGAAGCGCACTGGTCGTACACAAGTGTGCAAATATTTGCCGAATTGGGACAGTGAGCATTGCATCATCGACCACGATGCATGCCGGGATGCTGGTCGATATTTTTGCTACTTTGAAAAAAAACCTTTATTGAAGGTATGGTGGAGGAAGTTTCTGATTTTCAGGAAAAAAAAAACGTCCTCTCCACGTTTTGAAAAAAATGCACACGAGAGAGAACGCCCAGTTATCCTTGAGCATACTCCGTTTACAAGTAGCTGCCGGCCTTGCAGCACTTCTTTCAGCATTAATCCAAAATGAATTTCTCCAAATGGCATGCAGAACTTTAGCTTATCTGTTGAGCAGAAAACTGGTGACAGAGGCGTCGGTGGGGAGCCCAACCTTTTAGCGCACACCGTTGATGAAAAGAGACTCGTAAAACACTCTGGTCTTCTTTCTCACTTCCGACACTTTTTTCTTCTTATCATAGACTTCAAAGGCACTTTTTCTCTTGCGACTCTCAGCCATTCTCAAAAGAACCTGGTGAGAACAACAAGGAATGAAGGCGTATCGCTCTATGCATAAACAGAATGCACAGGAAGTGAAAACTAACCCAGGAACGAGCATGTACGACGACGGCCTTGCGTGAAAGCTTCACCAGAATGATTGACAGTTATGTGGACCAGGCTTCAGATGATCCACCTGGAAGAAAAAGATCTTCCTCTATACCTTTAACAACTTTCAAACAAAAAATTATTCGACTAAATTTATATTTATTGCTGTCCACACTAAATCTTAGTCTAAAACATTTAGAGCATGAATAACTATAATTGCCTTAAAATCCTCTTTCATTTATAAATGCATATTTTCAGAAAAGGCACTTCAGCCATTGCTTCACCACCTTCTCAAAATTCCCACAAAGCAATGGATTGTGGGTAATACCCTTAACCAAAGTTCACCTTGATGCAGACATTGGCGAAGTGTGGATCAAGTGTGGAAAAGCGGTGTGGTCAACTTCTGCTCTTGAGAATCGAGGCACCCTATGCACTCACACAGGGTGGAAGTGTGTATTAGGACTGGGTTGTAGTGCACTGAGCTGACTCACATAATTATGTGTTAATGTAAAAAAAGTTTATCAAACATAAAACCCTGTTTAAAGGTCAACTTCGCTGAAAAAATATTTTTAGCTATTTCTGGTAATAATCAGTCACTCTGAGTTTTTCATCCAGGCTGAACGTGAAAATAGTCTCCTACACCTATCTCCCGCATTAGCTTCTGATAGAAAATAGATGGTAAACTTTGTGAAACCTGACAGCTCTACGTCACACTGTCACTTAATGTTCATGGACTCACCCATCTTGACTCAAGATGGGGAAGGCTGTTGTTGGTTTAGTGTCCAGGAAACAGGAGAAAATGTCTCGACTACTAAAAGCTAACCGTTAGCATTAGCAACTCGTCCACATGGTCGAACTCCTTCAGGAGTGTGCTATTTGTGGAGATAAAACATCAACGTTGCAACGCAAATGGAGTCAGTGGTAGACTTGCATTGCTGTTAGCCAATCAGACACAAGATGTCCAATTATCAGGAAATAAAATTGTTTTGGCCCACGAGATCAAAAGCTGCAGTGTTCTGCCACTTTCTCCTCCAGTACACTTCTACATCTTCAAACGGGTGCATCGAAGCTCCCCCTCCCAGAGTACAACTTACAAGGCATTCATTCCTGCTAGAGACCACTGCAAATGTATCAAACATATGAGTAAAATTGACATTTAATGTAATTTGTCCAGTTTGGGTTTTTTGGGTGGGCTTTAAATATTATATTATATATTACATATTTACATATTGGCATATTTGCCAATATGATTGATTTTAATTCCTTGTTGAAAATGGTGGCGAGGATGGCTGTGTTACCAGAGTGCTGTGCTGAAAATGTTCTTGTTTGTGTGGATATAATGAACTAGCTGTAACTGTAACCTCGTGGGGGTTCCTGGTTGCCGGTTCCTTGGTCCCCAACACATACCAGAGAATACAAAGACAGAGACAGGGATGACGACTACAAACTAGGGTTGTCACGGTGTGAAAATTTAACCTCATGGTAATTGTGACCAAAATAACCACGGTTTTCGGTATTATCGCGGTATTTTTTTTAAATGTGCTACATTTTCACACAATTAAATAAACCCTGTATGTCAGGAAATATTGTCTTCAGTTTGTGTCTAAATTTAGCCTAAAATGTGTTATTTTGTAATTATGTTGTTTATTTGTTTACATTTTTTCCCTTTAGTCTTTAAAATACCAATATTTGCCCATAACTACTTATTTTTTGTCTGTTTGATGTGATCAGTTAAAAATATTAGATCAGTGGGTGTTGCAGATTTGGGAGAATCTCATAAATTCATAATTGTTCTCGGAGAGAGACCAACTCTTATCTGTCCCTGGGAGCCCCGTAATGCATAGCGTCATTTCAACATGGGGGTGTCCACGACACGGTTTATATGCAGGTAGCGGCGCTGCGGCTGATTTATATAGCGACTCGTTGCGTTCTCCCTCAACCCAAATCCTCGGATCACGCATTTTAGCTAAAACGCTAACGTTAGCTTGCCTTGCGTTGACTGCAGAGTTGTGGGTGATGGTCACGCAGATGTGTCATGAGATTTGAAGCGTTGCTGCCTTTCACAGACACTTTTTCTGCACGTGCTGCAAACAGGATAGCCGTCTTCTATAAACTGTCCCTCGGCATTCTTCAAATATCCAAAAGATGCCCGTACTTCCCACTTTGTCTTCTTTGAGGGATAAAAAATGTCCTCCTGAGCGCTGCCGTCTCCTCCTTTGGCCATTATTTCAGCTTTAGCTTCAAGAAAGTTTTGGTTGTAAACAACAAAGTGCGCATGTGCCGCCGGCAACTTCAGCAGATGATACGGTGGCTGGTAAGGGTCACCGCACCTACACCGCAACCACGGTAATCCACCGAGATAATATAGTTTTTCTAAAAACAAGACGGTTATTATTATTGTCAATTTTTTTACCGGGGTTTACCGCTACACCGGTTACCGTGACAACCCTAGTACAAACACATAAATAATCCACCAGTTTTATTCAAAGGTAATGGATGTTGTTAAATGAGTTTTAGAGTTTCTTAGTTACTTACATCTAATGTTGGTGGCCATCTTGAACAGTTGTGGATGAACCGAGATTTAGGCCCAAAAAAATATAATTTCTGTTATTCTCATTTAAAGCAACTGGGATGTAAAGTTTTGTAGTTTTACACCTAATCACTGTGACTGTTGCTAGTTTAAAAAACATTATGATAAATGTTGTTACCTGTGGAGCAGAAAGCATGCAAGCTCGGCGTGACTCTTCAGACTTTGATAGTCCTTCAGTTAATTCCTTCGAGAGAGGCCCAATCCCATTACTCGCACTTCCACACTTGCGCCCTTCAATTGTACGATCCCGACCAGGGGTGCGTGTGCGTAGGGTGTCCCGATTCTCAAGTGTGGAAGTTGATCACGCCCCTTTTGCACCCTTGATCTGCACTTCACCCAAGTCCGCAGTGATGGGTGGAGTGTATTACCCACAATCCATTGCTGCGGGAGAAAAAGCTCAAATTCCTTTTCTGAAAATACGTATTTTCTAATGAAAGTAGTTATATTTTAGGACGATTAGTTGATGCTCTGAAACTTTTAGACAAAGCAGCAAGTGTACAAGGAGTCACCGCTCGTCTGGGAAAGGTGCTGGATCAAGAAATGGAACAAACAAAAATAAGAATCCGCACACTTCAATCTTAGAGGTGGGAAAAATGATCGATTCTAAGATGCATCACGATTCAGCCGTGCATGATCCCGCATCGATGCAGCAACGTGACATAATGAGATTCTCTCCCTATGTCTATGTCGGGGGTCGGCAACCGCGGCTCTGGAGCCGCATGCAGCTCTTCCATCCATCTGATGCGGCTCTCTGTGCTTGTAAAATAATGAATGGATATTTAAATAAAATGCTTTATATTTTACTGCATTAATTTTACATCTGTAAGCTAATTCTAAATGTAAAGATTGTCTGCGTAAACCTGAACAGTTCCAACCCGGTCTTACTGTGAGACCGGGTTGACGCGTCACGCTTGTGCGTAATCATATGCGAGTTCTGAGCTGACGAGGACGTGAGATTCTGGGATTCTCCTCAGATCCTGGATGTGTCGCCACATTGGAGACAGGAACAAGTGCTATTCAGCCAAAGTTTCATAATCAGGGAGCATTTTCTAAGCGACAAGTCTCGCTTCAGTCGGAGGAATCTGCATGCGCCCTGGTTCTGCGACGTGCTCCAAGCCCCTCTCCACATCTTCAGCGCGCTGTGCGCCGTACGTACGCTGACAGCGAGCGGCGCTGAGCTCAGTGTCCAGCTCAGATGGGAATCAAGTGATTTAGCTACATCTGCGATGTGCGAAACGAATAAAGTGTCAGTTCGTCTGCATGCGTCGGGGTCTTTCTATTCTTTCTCCGTCAAAATAAATAGTCAAAAACGGGAACTATCCGGTCAACACAACACAAGCCCTGCTTTTAACTGTTCTGTTTTCTTGTGAAAATAGTTAAAATTTAACTTGATTAACACCAGAGCCAGGCGCACTGCGCCGTTATCTCCGTCGCTGTAAATG